AAACTTAAGTAATTTTCTTATTCTTTTACAGAGCCAACCATGCCACTGGAGAAATGCCAAAGGGCTTACTAAGCGATCCGTTGTAGATACTCCAGTTATAGGCAACATTTCACAGAACATCTCCCTATTTCAAAGTTTGCGTGTTCTTCAAGAAGGACCAGAAGAAGCTGCACTGACAAACAGTAAGTTTAATTCAATCTATTTAAAAAGTTCGGTTATTATTATTTATCATCTTATAGTAAGAAAATTGGAGACTATTGGGCAATATTGATTTGTGGATGGATCATAAAGTCAGAGGACATATAGAGTCCAATGTTCACAATGTATGATTAGTAATTGTTCCAGGAATACTATATAAGACAACATAGTACATATCACATTTCGAAAAGACTTGGTTTCTTTGTAATACATTTCATTAAAATGTAATAAGTTAATAAGCTTTAATGACAAGAAAAAAAAATGATAAAATTATAAAAACATTGAAATTAAATATTTATGAACAGCTAAATCAAAGATTTTTAAATAGATTTAGTATCTGAAATCTAGGTCTAACTCTAGCTGATAACCCAAAACTTCGACTTAAACACTTGCAGGAATGTCATAATGTTGTACTGTAAACAGTTTGATAAAGCTTTGTTACACCATTAATCAAATAAAATCTAATGGAAGATGAAATAATAAAAAAATAAAAGAAAAAATACTATAGATCTGCATTAAGAAAACATAAATTCCAAACCAGAAAGCAATATCCCACAATAAGCATAAGAAATGGAAAATATTTTTCAGGCGGATTATAGAATAAACATACACATACATAAATAAGAAAAAAATCTCAAAGTTCCTTGATACAATCTCAATAATCATCATGACACCAAATTTAAAAAGCAAAAGGAATTTAATTCAATCATAAAATAAATATTTTACATTTTTTTTTAAACAAATCATTTAATTTTCATGAAATTTTGTCTGCCTTATTCACAGCTTCTGTACCACGAGGCCTTGGAAATAATGTCTGCTTAAGAAGTGGGCTAGTTGCTTCATTGACCGCAGCTACTGCAACTCTTATCACCATGCTGTCGATCGCCCTGGCTGCCATGTGCTGCAGAATCAAACGATTGTCGAAGCAGCCCCTCCTAGCTCCTCCTCAGCTATCCAATCGTCCGAGGTGTTTCATGAATCTAAAATGAGGTTCCTACCTAACAAGCCAGTGGAACAAATATAATGAACTGTGTAATAAATTTCTTCATCCTCAGTGTAAAGCCAGAAATATTACTGGCGATAAGGCATAGCAAAACAAGAAGGCAATGAATAAAAATAATTGCTACATTGAAAAAACACCATTACACTTATTGTAGTGGTGAAAAAGAAAATTTTAAAATAAATAAAAAAAATTTAATAAAGAACTTAATCATTAAGTAGGAGTGTTAGATTAAAAAAAAATTAAAATTTTTTATAAAGAAAAACTATTTTATAATATTCATTACTACTTAACTCTGTATATTATTACATTGTTTTGTATTAATACCCTTTGTATATTAAGGAGGATGAAGCTACTAAAGTTAAATTATAAATTATGATTATCGGAAAAAAAAATATGCCTCGCAACTTTTGGGAAGCTTTTTGCAAAGATTATTCTCAAAAACGTATTTTATGTACATAAAAGTCTTTATAAAATTCTTGAATTGTTTTCATCTTTTATTTTCAGGAATTGATGTATTGATACTATAAAGGTGCTTTCTTGAGTTTTAATAATTAGATTAATGTTAGTTGGGATGTGACCCAGATTTACCTAGATCAACTTATAACATACATAGTCAGAGCAGAAAGTTTAAGAAAATATGAGCAAAGGGATTATTTTAAAATAGATTTATTATATTTTAACATAAAATAATTTTAATTAATTGTACCTGATAAAAACGAACAAGTATTATGAAGTTGATTGGTAAATCAGGCCACATACCATACTTCCTTCATGCAGGTCTCTAAAAAAATGTATAATATTCAGACCTGATGAACGAACTTGAAATAATTTATTTATTATTTCATCTGACAAAGCCTATGGTCCAACCTCTATCTAATGCAATTAAGATTAAAAATTAACGGCCTTATATAGGCGTTAGTCCATGGCGAGGATGTTATTTTCACTCACTAAGTTTTCTGTGACTTAGTTATAACTAGAATTAGTATTAGTGTTATACTTTAAATGTATGTATGTAACTTTTTTTAAAAATATTTGAATAAATAAAAAAATATATTCAAAATTGTTTTTGTTTTTTTCCAGAATTACTAAAAATCTTATGCAAATTTATATGTAAACACAATATTTTGATTGAATATTCCTTAGGAGGATAAATATTTATATCAATAGCATTATATTTCATAGACGCAAATTCTATTTGATGTTGTTACAAATAGTACAAAATAAAAAGCACTGGTTTGCATTACATGAATTTCTTTAACTTAAGGTCCATCTACCATTTTTTATCAATTTAATTTTTAAAACATTGAATTTAAATTTTTTTAATAATTTTTATTGAAATATTTGTTTTTTTTATTTATAAATTTTTATTAACTTCTTCTTTTTCTTAATCGATTTTTCTTCTAGTGTACTATTTTAGATCAGTAAATCAGTGCAGTATTTTTTGTAAATTTTATTTTGATAAGCCTGAATTCACTAACCATAGAAAACTAATTGGACTAAATCATGTCATAACTAACTAAATAAATTAAATTTTTTATACATAAAAAATGATATATTTCTACATAGCTTTTACATCTACAAAATTATTTAGATAAAATATTTCAGTAATAACTTATAAACTACAACTAATGTGTTTTATGATCAATTATTAAGTATTTTATACATTTATAAAATACATTTGTTAACTCTAGAAAACTAAATGAAATAAAGTATACACCATTGCATTTAAAATTTACTTCCATACTAAAAAATATTCTTTTAGACCAGATAATTTTTTTAATTTTTTATAGAAAAATAGCTTATCAGCCTTCAGCTGGTGGGTTGGTCCTTACTAACACATAACTTTTACAAACTTTCAGTTAAGATAAATTGCAGAAAAAAGTTTGCAAACACATAGCTTCACTTCAAACTTCAGGAGACCAGCGGGTACCATACTGCCAGGAAATCGATGAAGGTGTGGGAATATTGGTTTATCACAGTTCTTACATTATCCAACACGCCGAAATAACCATCATGTAGGTAAATTTCTGTGTTCTGAAGTTAACAAATGATATTATGATTTTCAACCATTTCATATCATTAGTTTCAGGGGAGAGAGGGAATTCCAGATGACTTAGGAGATAAAAATTTATGTTAGAAAAAAATATTAAATATTTAATAGTTGACCGTTGCATTATAAAGGAAGGAGATGGTCCAGGGTGGCGTTCAAAAATAGGCTAAATAGTTTTGCCACTATTTAGAATATTTCTGAACTGCACCCCGGACCATCTCCTTCCTTTAGAAAAAAGTAATTTTTTTTAATGTTTTAAAAAATTACCAAACCATAAATAGTAGCATAGTTCATATCAGCATGGACATTTTCTTATGTTTAATCTAATCCTGAGCAAAGATTTGAATTTACAGTCAAAGGGAAGAAGCTCTGAAACAACAACCCCATAAAATCTTAAAATTGCTGATTTTAGCTGAGTTTCAACTATCTAAGTATCTTCACCAAGTTATAAATACCACTGTAAAACAATTGACTCAGTTTAAGCAAGTTCAAAAAATCTATACAATGAAATACTCCAGTTTGTTGTTAACATACGGTAAACTCTCGATGATTGGAAACCCAAGGGACTGTAAGAAAAATTCGAATTATCAAGACTGTAAATTATCAAGAAGTTTGAATTATCGCGAGGAAAGAAAAATAAATCAAATTATGAAGAGGTTTTATTATATTTTTGAAAATATATATGAGCTTTCATACATTTTAGATACAGGGTGTTGCAGTGGCCAAACTGGAAGAAAAAAATTTCCTCTGAAAGTATGTCCATAAACGATTTTTTTAGGAGATATTCACACTTAAAGATTTCCGTTATTATGAATTATTTACATTATATGAAATAAATAAAACCTGGAGTATTCCACTACAGCTGAGAAGGGACATGTGGCTTTAATTAGATGGTTGTCCTGCATATTAAGAAAGAAGTCCATGACAATGGCTAAATGTTAATTATCCCAATCAATGGATTAGCCGTACAGGACCAGTGGCTTGGCCTGCACGCTCTCCAGACCTAACACCACTGAATTTTTTTGTTTGGGATGACATTAAACAAAAAGTCTATGCAAGTCTGGTCAATGACCTTTATTCCTTATGAAGAAGGATAATTTAATCTTGCAAAACAACAACACATATCCAGTGCCGTTATGCCACTGCTGATGTTGAAGAAAGATGCTGAGCCTGTTTTAATGCTCAAGGAAATCACTTTGAACAATATTTAAAATGAATTTAATGTTTACGTTTACTTTAATTAATAAAGTAGTTAGAACAAATAAATAAGTTTTATTTACTTAATATAACGTAAATAATTCATAATAATGAAAATCTTTAGGTGTGAATATTTCCTAAACAAAGTGTTTGCATACATACTTTCATAGGAATTTTTTTTTTTTCTTGTTTTGAGATCTTTAATTCATATTTTCAGTTTGTCCACTTAACCCTGAGATACCCTGTAAATATAAATACATTACGTCATCTAAATATATTACTAAGAAAATTTCAAATTATAAAGAGGGGAAGTGGTCTAGTTTGAATTATAGAACCTTTTCGCCCCTCTTGATATGAAAAAGATTTCGAGTTATCAAAGTACACTAAACTGAGGTTTCATTGATTAATTTTTTTTATTAAAATGAATTTTAATAAAAGAATTAATATGAGCATTTAAGTCTATCTATAGCACAAAACAGCACTTTTTCATTGAGACAAAATAATTTCATGACTGTATTATGAAGAAAAAGGAGACAAAAATAAAAATACTTATTACATACAAAAGTGTATATTAAAATAAAAACAATATACTCTGTCAACAAATATAAATAACAAGTTCAATAACTTTACATATTTAAGCATATTTATGAATTCTCCATGAACCACCACAGCGACAAGACCGTAACCACCTTTGATCCCAAGCACGAATTGCGGCAGTTCTTGGGGTAGATAGCTGCACTTGAGTTTTACCACCACAACTGTTAACAAAAGCGAATTAGATTAAATTATGTAAAAAAAAAAAAATTACAGTAAAACATACATGAATTTTATTTGATTCAAGAACATTCTAAATCTTTAAAAAATATAGAAACTAAAACCCCATTAATCTTAACTGAAAATCATCACCATAAAAGTAAAGCAAAATTCCTTTGGCCATGGCCAGATTTAACCAAAACTCAATAATTACATATTAACGATTTGATAAATTCAACTTTCTTCCAATCAAAAAAATACTTTAATTGAATAACAAAATGGAGCATGATGGCTGAACAGGTTAATGTGCAAAATAGATGTTGCCCAGCGCAGCCTGTGCTAAACTGAAGATTTCGAGCTGGAGTCCAGTAGGAAGAGAGGGACACTTTTAATTATGGCATTAATCCCCTGCCCTCTCCCCTGGCCTGCAATAAGCTCCATAGAACCTAAAAGGCGAGGAAGGAGAGAAGAAAAAAAAATCAGGTGTGGTGCACGCATCACACAACTTTCACTTACCACCCTCTTCTTGGCAGAAATGAATATTTTTAGAAAAAGGGTAAGTGAAAGTAAAAATTACATAAACTATATTGATTTACAATTCATCGTGGGTATTTTTACAATTGTAAGTCCCCTTATATATACAAATTTTAATATTTATATCACAGTAATCTATACAATTAAATATTTAATAATACCATCAATAGCATCTATAATACCATCAATAGCATCTATGAAAACCGAATATGTATATTTATGTAATATTGTCGGAGTCCTTATTATATTAAGCTCATATTAAGTATGGAAGCGTGTTCTAATCTTTCAGGTGATCTCGGGTGCGCTCGTATTCCTTTGATCCCTCAATTACAACTATTCTCCGTTACAACCTCTTATTTCTCCTTTAATTAATTATCAAATTCTTTCACATGTTATATTGAACTATCTTTTATATTAGAGATTAATGTGAAATGGTCAATTGTTCCAAATAAAAAAAATTAAAGGTACTTTAGGGGAAGCTAATGTTCAAAATTAGCAATTTAAGCCCTGTTAGAAAACGTCAGTCAGAATAAAAACTACATTTTATTTAAAACTGCTTAATTTTACACTGATATGATTAATTTAATCAAAATCATTAGAGCCATTTTTGAGAAAATCACAAAAATGTGTTTGCCCATTATATAAAGTGCCACTTCCGGATATCCGATTTTGACAAAAAAAGTTGCTGTAATATCCCTAGCTTATAAAAACCTTAAATATGCAATTTCACTTGCGTACGACTTTTCGTTTTTGAGCTAGACTGTTAACACACACACACAGACCATTTTGCAGGACTTATTTGCAGTTATTTGGACCCAGGAAACCTCAAAACGTATATTTCTGTTAAAAACTGAGAATTGAAAATTTCATACTTCCCCTTACTATATACTTCATATATAGGTAAGTAAAAGTAAAAATTTAGTAACAAATTACAACAGAATTATACTTTAACTGCCTTCAGTATTACATAAATGTAATATTGTTAATTAACAACAAACATAACTAAATCTGTTCAAACTACATCAATTTATAAAAACTATGTACTTGACATAATAAACAATAAAGGGCTGATAATGGAAATTTTTATTATTATTTTTTAATCTAAATATATATATATATATATATATATATATATATATATATATAAACACCATAGAAGGTGTTGTCTCAATTTCTAATAAGATTGTAATGACAGTGTTGCGCAAGAAGAGTCAATCTAAGAATATTTCTAAAGATTTTACCTTTGTATTTTCATTTTTTCAAGCAATTTAATGTTCTTAAGCTTTTTGTTATGTTGCTTCATTTTAAAAGTTTAGTTTGTAGGGTAGAATGCAAAGAAAAGCTTATTGGTCCCCAAACAAAATAGCAGATTGAACCTCCTTGAACAACACAGTAATACAAAAATGAGTGTGATATTTACCGACAACATTGTTTCACCACAAATGGTTGTTTTCCGAGATACAAATGCCTTATAGTGTCTAAACTTTGATCATTAGCAAGGCATCCTTCCAACTGTGTGTTCTCAGGTTCAAACATTAAACTGTCTGGTTCTACTCCATACTCGAGCTAAAATATATTAGAATAAAAATAACTTTTACTACATTAGAACTTCCTTCAACTGAGAAATTTACTTTGTAAGAAAATTCTCAAAGGTATTCATAAAACAAAAAATTGCATGGAATACCTGTATAGGAAACGTTTGATAAGGAAGAAGAGGAGACGCTATGCAAACTATTGCTGTTGTAGGATTAACTTGTGGGATCATAACCTGGCTTGGAAGTAGGCAACATTCATCTGAAACGAATAATCATTCTTAACAAATAAAAATATATCATATGCATAATAATTAAGAGGTATTTTTAAAGCTCTGTGAGGTGAAATGAATAATGAATGATTACCAGTAAATATAAAACCTACTAAGTTGTTAATGATAAATAGGCAGTTAAGAAAAATGTTAAAGCCACAAGTGAAAGAAAAACTAATGTCAAGATGAAAATAGAACAAATCATAATCTACAAATGATTTTTTTACAGACCATATAGATCTTTTGCCACCTTAACAAGCCTGCTTGCTCCATCTCTGCCTGTTTTGGGCTATTTCTTTCCATTTATCTGCACGCAGTTCTATTGCATCTTTGTTAATTCAATCCATCCATCTGCTTTTTGGCCTTCCACGTGGTCTTTTGCCTTCTTTTGAGGCATTCATTGTCACCTAGAGGCTTCCAGATGGATTGCTACGAGCTACATGCCCGCCCATCTTAACCTCCGCGCCTTCATATCATGAGATATTAATTAACCAGTTTCTCTAAGCAGTTATTTATTGTTCTTTCTTCTCCATGAGTTAGAACTCCGATCCCAGATTGCATAGGTTATTGTGGGCAGGATTTTTCTCTCAAATCTTTCAACATTTTTTTCAAGGGTGCTGAGTAGTGTCCAGGTCTCATAGCCATATATCAGAACTGGCTTTATCATAGCAGGGTACACCCTTAATTTCAGATTTCTTGAGATTTTTCGGGATTTCAATACCTTCGAAAGGGAGAAGAAAGCTCTTTGGCTAGTTATACGCATGGTGTATTTCTATTTCTACTATTAGTCTATTTCTGTCCGTTGGTCATTCATTGAGGTTATTGTGGAGCCGAGGTATTTGAATTCTTCTATTTGGAATGATTTTCCTTCTAGGCAGATAACGTTATTGGGGTGGATTTCATAGCTTATTATCTTATATTTGGTTTTGTCTTCATTTACTTGTAGACCGATCTGCTCTGCCTCTCTTATCAGTGTTGTAGCGAGTTTCTCAAGGTCTTCTTGATTACTTCCAAGGGCAGCTATATCATCCGACGTGGACCCTTCTATTTTCTTGTGATGTTCTTATTATCTTCTCCAGGGCTAAGTTGAACAACGTCAGTCCATCACCCTGCTATAAGGCCGTTCGAACTTAGAAGGCTTCAGATATTCTCCTTGTACTAGGACTCTACATTTGGAGTCATTTGGACACACCCGTTTGTCAAGCTCACCAACTTACCGGGAATTCCCAGTTCAGTCATGATTTCCCAAAGGCAGCTCCAGAATCATAGGCTGCTTTGAAATAGACAAATAAGGCATCGTAAATATTTAAGCTATAAAAAAATCTTATTTTCATGTAAACAGGTATTGTAACTTTAGTTCAATTTTTTTTTTTCCTTTTCATTTTCTTTAATTTTTATAGAAAAAAAATAGCATAGATAAAATTTAAGCATAACATTCATACATATAATATGTAAATTCGCATGGTGTATGTAAACTCCTCCTGCATAGGGTTACTATGCAAGAGAAAAAAAAAAAATCAAAATTTAATAATCCAAAAACCTATTTCAACTTAATCATAATATTTATTGTTAATTTGTGCTCAGTTAAAAGATAAAATAAAATAACTGGTAACATCATGAAGTTCCACTGCTACTGTGAGACCCATAAGACTTAAAAACAAGTCAATAATTCATGTGTCAAAGTTGACTAAAAATTTCCATGAAGGAAAGGCCTTTTTGTATCAAACTTAATTGAACAGCAGCCAAGCAAATGGCTACCAATTGTTTATTATGATGGTATGGTTTATATATATTCCATGCATTTTTTATTCTCTATAACAATTAATCATAAACAATGTTTACCTAGAAGATTTTCGTCAGGTTCATGCCCTTGAGCTAATTTCGAAAGTAATTTGAAGAGAAGCAACAAAACATCGAGATTCTCAGCTGATTTCACAAACATAGGAAGACAAGTTGGTCGTAGAAGACCCCACACTCTAATAATGACTAATAAACTTCGGAGTGTGTTTATTGCCTTCACATCCTTGAGGCAGTCACCCTAGAAACAGATGGTCATTTAAATGCATAAAACTATTTTGTTAATTAAATATTTATTTCAATGTAATAGCAATAACCACTAAAACCCTATAATTAATTTTCAAAATACTCTTAGAACTAAAACATTAATTTATTATGAATAAAATAGCCTTGGAACAGATCATTCAGAGTGTATATGGTTCCAATAGATATGGATACCTGAATTTCAAATCTGTTCTAAGTTAAGACAGAATGGTCAAAACTGGGCCTCGACCACTAGATTTATACTCGTACTATTACCAAGTACTGTTTTTAAAACCAAGAAGATTCAGATTAATATAAATCCAAATTATCAAATCAGAAATGACAAAAGATAACTTCATTAAAGTCGATTAAAGACAATAAATGATGAATAGCCTGAAATAATAGTTTAAGCTTCATTAAATTTTATTCATTAGCTAAATTTTTTATCAGATTTACCTCTCACAAGGTGATTTAATATCATTACTACAATGAAGTCTGCCAAAGACAAAATATTTGTATTTCGCAAGTAAATAAAATTATAAATTTCTTTTCCAATTTGTAAAAGTGTAATTCTAAACCTTATTTCTTTTTACATTTAAAAACATTTAAAAAAAATAGAATTAATTATCATTATTAGTGAGGTTTCATTTAGCTTAACTCACAGCAGGAGATTTATATTGTTCTGGCAATCTCGCAAGGATGTTTAATGCTAAATCGGCAGTCCACTGTATTAATTGTTGCAACGATTGTAGGTTGCTTGGTTCCATTGTGAACTCTTTGCATTCCAAATGAATAAGTACTTTATCAATATCAGAATTCTGGTTCTCATTCAACAGACCTTGAACAAAAAAAAAATTATGTGAACAATTAAGGCAGGAAAAAATATGTTAATATAATTAGTAGACTTTTATATCAATCCTCATTTTTCAAAAGAAATAATTATTTTTCGTTAACTATTAATCCCAATTCTGATAAACTTAAAAGTACTAAAAAGAATTATTTCTTTTTTGTGGTCCAAGGAGTATAAAAAAGACACATGTTTTATCACAAAGAGCGAAAACTTTATAGTTAAATAGTACTTCACTGTGAAATGAATTTTTATGACAGATAAATGACATATAAAATATAATCATACTTGCGACACTATCTGCAGGTCCCTTCTCATGACTCGACAGGTCAGAGGGTCTAAGAAGTGAAGTGAAAGCAGTTGAGACAGCATGGAGCATTAGTAGTGAGTTTAATTCTGCACCTTTGGCTTGGCCATTAGCAGTTAATCTAAATTATTAGAGGGTTTAGCATCAAAAGTTATATTATATACATTATATATTAGAGAAACTGAAATAGAACAATAGAAAAAAATCACCAATTAATTTATACTTTGAGAACTGCTGAACTGAAGTTTATACTGATTTAATATCTTTAATATTAAATAACATACAAAATTGTCTTCAAGAAAAAAAAAAAAAGAAACAATCACTAATTTAAAAAAATAAATAAATAAGGTTTAGTTTTCTCCTTAAAAGATAAATATATAACGGTTTTCTACATAACCTTACCTAAATGGGGTCAAATAAAGTTGTGAGAAAGATCAGATTGTCTTCTCTTAAGAGACTGAGTCTACTAAGTTAACTCCAATATGCTTGAAAGTTTGTCCCAGAACTTTATTCATAATGAATATAAATGAAACAAACGGGATGCTGTACTAGCATAATTGCCAATGGTTTTTCAGATTTATTGACATATCTGGGATACACTATACCGTTACTATGGGTTATAGCATAACATTATAAAATCTACTATGTCTTTCTCAATAAATGGTGTTTCCAACACATCATAATTTTTCAAATCGGACTAGTAATTGAAATTAGCGTGTTCAAAACAACAAATTCTTCATTTTATATACCTATATCAATTGACCCATTTTAAAAATGTCAACAATAAACCATTACATTTCCTTCATTTTGAAATTGAGAAGAAAAATAATTCAGACTTCCTCAAAAATTATACATAGCAACTTTATATCCAATCTGAAAACCTGCACAGATTTAGACACAACTGACATATGACCTTTAGTTCATATAACCGAAGTTTAAATTTTTTACTATTAAAAATTCAAATTTATGTTAGCCATGTTTACTAACCGAGCTAAAGCCATTCTCATCTGTAGATGTGCAGTGTAATAATACTGTTGTACAGCTTGTGGTTGCTTATTGAAATTATCAGATATTCTGTCTGCAATCGCATCAACTATAGAAGACTGTAGAGAAACGAGAACATCCCAGCTGTCAGTGCCTGATACCAAACAGTAGTCCAAAAGAGCACTTGCCACATTCACAGTCATACTGACACCTTAAATTAAATAATGATCATTTTAGCATAATAATAATTGGAAAAAAGAAAAAAGTCTAAGCCTTAATTCATTCAAGAGCTCCAAAATAACTGTACACTATTTTGGAAAAATTTTTGTTCCAACTTATATTTTATCTTACATTTCGGCCCGAAGTTCATGCCTTCATCAGGGCTGAGAAAAGAGCCAGATAACAATAGGTATAAGAAACCATAAACATTGAATAATAAAGAATTAAAATTAAAAAAGGTGAAAGAAATAGACTAAAAATTTAAAAATGATGAGTCATAATAAATATCTCGTCCATCATATACGACGTTACGTTCCTGTGCTTTAGTTCACATTTTAGTCCACCCCTAACCATTTCAGAGGGCGCCATCTGCCAGCTCAGCTCCTTCACGCTTTTCATAGATCATTAATACTCCATTGCGTTATAAACAGACTTACTCATTTCTGTTCAACATTCAGTTTTATTTTTCTTTAATCTCGTTAAAGAAATTCATTTTTGTTTTCTTTAATCTCACGTATCACGTAGATCTCTATTTTCTATACATTGATACATTTGATCATACATCTTTTTTTACATTATTTAAACTGTTATTTTCTTATACGTAGTCAGCATATTTGATAGATTTTACAATATCTTAATTTTCTATTTATATCTATTATTTCCTTATATAATTCATATTTCAATTCTCTGTTTTACAATTTAATCTAAGATTAGCATTTTCATTTCTTATGTTACCTTATTTTTTATTATGCTTATTTCATTGGCCCCTGCTTTGTTACCGTTATTATTATTTATTTCTTAGTTCTCCGTTACTGTTATCATTCTACCTACTTTGTTTTACTTTAATGTTCACTCTATCTACTTCATTTTATGATAAGTTTTTCTACCTAAATTTTTAATCTATAACTTTCACCTTTTTTAATTTTAATTCTTTATTATTCAATGTTCATAGTTTCTTATACCTATTGTTATCTGATTCTTTTCTCAACCCTGAAGAAGGCCTGAACTTCGGTTTGAAACATTGGCGAATGTAAAAATAAATACAAATATTTATTTTTACTATTTTATTTTGACTGATAACACCAACCATCCTTCTCTTCAATAAATAATCATAGTAATAAATCAATGTTATGGACAAATCTTTATACTATTAAAATAATCTTGGAATAAACAAACAATAGAATGCCAGAAAAAATATATACAAACATAAAACCATAGCAAGAGCGAAAAACGGAAATTTCATAAATTAAGTAATTCATGCTGTTTATTAAACCATTGTACGTAAAATAATTGTAGCTTTTTCTATAGATAAATAAAAAACAAACTTAAAAAATAAAGAAATACAATTCTCAATATTTGTACTGACAACATTAATAAACCAGCATTAGTTTACATGAAATCTGAATCAATAATAGGAAATATGTTCATAACATAATAGCAAAGTATATCTACTGCAACAATTATTGAATATACAGTAAAAGAATTTTGAATTTCATTATTTCAATGTAATAAAGAATTAACTAACACAGCAACAGATAGGTCATAAGGAACATACATAAATATAATAGTTTGTGGCTTTACGTTTAAATACGGGAGTATGTACATTTAATATTTATAAGTATTTAGGATTTCAGAAAAAAAAAAAAAAAAAAAAATATTAAAGTTCTCAACATAGTTAAATGCAAAAGAATTATTAATATTAATGTACTTATACACAGTTTCTTCATGGATTGAATTGCCCTTATGACTCTTCCATTTATTTTCCATTTAGGTCATAATTTAATATAACATTGCCATTTGGCTCAGTTTCAAGTTTCAAAAGTTGATGACATTTCTAACAAACTTCATTGATGGTTTGTTTCTTCTATTTGCTGTTTGATGTTCCTTGTGCTGTATCTCAGATACATTATAAGGTCTTTCGGAGCAACTCCTCAGTTCTGTTTTTTAATTTATTTTTTTTAGTTGATATGCATCTGATTAAATTCTAAGAATAATGTAGGTTTTATATTATTGGAATAAAAATAAATGGTAAAAGAATTATATAATATGAAAATTTGTTAGGTAAGTCATAGACTTTAGAGAGCTTCAAAATGAGCCAGTTGGACTGAAATATTGTTATGCCCAAAATAAATGGAAAAATTATAAGGACAATTCAATCCTTGAAAACACCGTATATAAAAGAATTAATAATTTCTCAGCTATGAATAATAAAAAAAAAATTAATTACCAGGTTCTAAGATTGGAGGAACTTTGAAAAGATAGAGTTGACCATGCGAATCAACAACAACCAACGCACATCCGAGCCAGGTAAGATCCATATGTGTTATCTGTGTACAAAGACGCTGATGTTTAGCAGTGTCTTCAAACCAGGCACATGCCAAAGATCTGGTTCCAACCTTTAAAAAAATGTCAATTCAAAATAATATACAATAAGAAAAATTAAATTGAACATAAAGTGTTCAAACGATACTTACTGATTTAAGGTTGTCCCGGTAAAGACAATGAACATTAGAGTCTGATGTAGCTACTAAAACGTAGGATGGTGGTGGGGCAGCAGTGGTTAATGCTATTTTATTTGTCGTCACACAAGTTACTGAATGACTAGTTGTGTAACTACATTCATATTGCCATGCCTAAAACAGTTGTGATCTTCAATAAACTTATACACATTCAATAGATGGCAAATTAGAAAATAAGAATTTCAATAATTTATATCATTATAAAAACCTGTACTCAAAATTAGATATTCATGTCATAATAAGGTTTTAAAATCGACCAGGGTTGAAGAGAGAAACACTTATTTCATAAATATAAGATTGCTGCCCAATTATATTGGGTTGCTATATACACAGCATACTCTTCTATCCTTAGGACAATATATGAACTTATATATAAATATACAGAAGTATTAATTAATATTAGTAAAATAGATATATATATATATACATTTTTATTATTTTATTTTTTTTCATTTTTTTTTTTCCTTTTTCCTTCCTTTCATTGTTCATGCTTTTTTTTTTTTTTTTAACATTTAGTTTCCCTTTCTCTCACTTCTCTCTCTTTATCTCTATTGTTTTCAATTATTCATTAAATAAATAAATAAATACATAAATTAAAACTCTCGGGCTAGCCATGCACGTGGTGGTGAATGATTCCCAGGGAGTCGAGGACTATATTTTCAGCCAACCTCGCTACGTCCTTAATGTCGACACCTAGTTCCTCGAGGAAGCTCCTTGTTCTTTTTGGGATAGTTCCGCGAGACCCAAACCAGAGGCCTCTCACGGTGAACTCTCTCTCTCCGAAGGTCTCACGGAATTTATCTTTTAGGAAAGGGATACATTTATCGTACGTGTTCTTCTTTTCCCTTTCCACTTCACCCGCCTGATCGAGGTCATTGCTCTCAAAGCGGACAGTTGGATCCAAGATCAGCGCTGTCCTTCCTGTCTTGGGAAATGCGACGATATCCGCGTATCTCGTAGAGCCTTCACTATCGATGCAATATACCTCGTCAAAGCAGGTGAATTTCCTTTTCCTAAGGAGCCTCATCAACTTGAACTTGACCCGGTGGTGACGACGTGTTATGAGGAGGGAGTTGTTGAGGCATTTTTCCAGCACATGGGCTGGTGTTTCAGACTCTCTGCCGCATTTACGGCAGAGGGACCCAACTTCTCCGACCTGTCCGCTGACTCCTGGGACTCCACGCAGGGGTGCATAATTAATGTTTAGTTTTAGGGCATTCGACCATTCAGACCCAGAAAGTACTTGCTTTTCGTAGATGTATCTATTCGCTTTCGGGGTCTCTTTAAAATGGCGAACACCAATACCCTGCCACCTGCAGTTGGCCCATTCCTCAAATGCATTTTCTCGTAGCGACTGCCGTAGAGCTTTCACATTTCGATGACCCTGATCAACCCCCAATCTCTCAGCACATTCAGTAATTTCAGCCGAATAATCGAAGGTAGACTGAAAAAGGGCATCTGGTACATTGGACAGTCGCTGAGCAATGGACCAATGTTGAAGATAAAAAAAATAGTTGAGGATTGTACACTTAAAAGAATGGATTTGATTATATACTTACAACAGTCTTGAATGTTTCTGCTGGGGGTTGAACAGGTTGGAACACCCTATGAATTGGTACAGCTCTTTCAGTGAGCTGCCATACTTCAACAAGCCCGCCACTTTGTGTATTAGCTGATACTACAAGAGAATCTGCATCTTCCCGGGTTACGAATTTTAAGCCGCTAACTTTTCCAACTAGAAATAATAGATCATTAACTATTTAAATATTTAATTTTTAATTTGTAAAATATTCTAAATTTGTCAGAAATAGAGATGAGCAAATGTTTTTCTGCATGACTCAGATACAAAGCAGACAGTGACAAGAATGACAAAGAAGTTCAAAACTAATAGAATTATAATAAATATTGTCAAAGGTATCAACAATTACTAAAAATAAATTATTTTGGTACACAATTTTATAGTTATTTAATTATGTGTAGTACAAATGATTTTGATTACTGATTAAAAATAATGTAATGTTCAATCGTTACATATGAATTTTTTTTTTTTAATTAAAATACTTACATGGATGATGCTTATTAGAATTAAAACTGTGAAGAAAGAAACTTGGAAGAGCTTGTGATGTGATATGTAGTCTCTCATCGAGGAAAATTACAGAGACCCTGTAGCACTGAACTCGGCATACATCACTGTTGCTAACAGCAACAACAAATTCACCATCTACAAATAATATTACATATTTAATTATCTACTTTATAAAACATTTAACACTTATTTCATTGAAAATGTATGTACATGAAATATGACTGGACACATTATAATTAAAACTCTGACAAGTTATAAAGATAAGATCTTGGTTAGATGTTCCAAATGTCACTTATAGAAATTACTAACAATGTTTAATTTATTATAACATAATGATAGATACATATATTCCAGTGCGAAAAGTTCCGCAACCAACAAATTGAACTCAAAATTGATGAAAAAGCACTGTACAAAGAAAACAATGGTATTGAAAAAACGCTAAAATACGTTAAACAAATAAAATTAATAAGTTATATTTAAGAAGCTGATGACCTTGGCAGTCCATGCAATGTTAAAAACCACCAAATAAAAAAAAATTATAGGTAAAATACTAAATTTGTCACGATTATATCCATTATGTATAATGGATTATATGTATAATCCATTATATATTACTTTCTACGACTTTCTATATTAGAGATTGTTTTTTCTAAAATACTTCGCTTTTCAAAGATTTATTATAGGTATACCTTCTGACTAGTATTTTCGGAAATTCATTTTTGACCTAAATAAACATTTTCCCTTTTTTCTCCATTTTTCATTTATCAAATTCTTTCAAAAGTTATATTTAGTATTTTTTAGTAACTCTTTGTAATGAGAGACAGATAATTATTTAAAATAAACCAAATCAAAGGTACTTTAGAGGAAGACATGTAGAACATTTGAGCATTGAAGCACTGTAAGGTGACATCAATGGTGATAAGACTTCAATGATATTAAAAAATACTTAATTATACAATGATACACCAAGTTTAATCAAAATCGTTGGAGCCGTTTTAGAGAAAATTGTAAAAATGTGTATAACCGTTGATAGTGCCACTTCCGGTTAATCGATTTTTTAAAAAAAGTTGCTGTCACATCCCAAGACATATCTCTATCTTAAATACATAATATCAGTTTCGTAAGACTTTTCATTTTTGAGCAAGACTGATCACAGGCACCCACAAACCATTTTGTGGGAATTACTTATTTAGACTCATGGGACCTCAAAATGCGTATTTCTGTTGAAAACTCAGATTAAAAAATGTTCACTATTGCATACTTTCCTGTATTATATATTACATATATAGGTAAGTGAAAGTAAAAATTACATAATGGCCTCACAGTTAGTAACCTCTTAAAGTAAACAAATATTCAACTTACGTAATACAAGTTAAGGTTCTAATTTCCTATCTAACCACTAATGCTGATTTAATTATTATACATACTCTTTCCATGAGCAATATCAGCAACAGAAAGGGCAGCCCGAGTAAGAGCTAGACTTTCAGTTTTTGTGAAAATTCTTCCTTCACGATCAAGTGCAACGGCTCCAGCGATTCCAGTTCCTGTTATCAACAGACATCCTTCAGCTCCTGAACCACCAAAACATCTAACAGAAGGCGAGAATTTAATATGGTTCATTTTTTCAGAATATATTGGCGAATCCTTTTTCTCAGCAACTATACTTATCTAAAAAAGTTATGCAATACATTTCTTAGGATAAAAAAATACTAATAAATAAAATTCAAAAATTGCTTAATATAAAACAGCTTAGAAAATAAATTTAATTTTTTTTTGAAGGGGGGGAGGGGGATGACATTGCCCATGAGTGCCAAATGTCTAAGGCCGGTAATGACAATGACTAGAAACGTACATTACCTGTTGACAAAAAAAACTATGGCATATAGTTAACATCAGACGGGCATAAGTGGTGAAACATAAGAATAATATTTGTTTTTTTTACCATTTGGGGTCTTGTAGGCATTTAGATATTAGATTTACATTAGATATAAAAGGTTAAAAGAACATTTAATATTGAATAATAAATCGTATTCAGTTGTAAAATTACCTTTCTTCCAGGATGAAAAAAAGCAGCCGATATAATGGCTTCTCCGTTAAATGTGGTTCCACCAAGGTAATTCCATGAGTTCAAAACATGGTCTCTGGAGGACCATATTGTAACAGAACCTCCATCAGTGGCAATAAGTAGTTTTTCACCACAGGAATCCCATTCAAGAGATGTAACGGCGCCATTTGTAGAAGTTACCCTATTAAATAAATGATAATGATAATACACAAATCAAAGTACAAAAAAACTATAAAATCTTTTTTAAAAAACATTGTGGTATATTAAAAATGAAGTGCTCCTAATCTTATTACTCTTCTTCTGGCACTACAACTCAGTGGTAAGTCAAGGTCTCCCGCAACATCAACCGACAGTCTTCTCAGCTTGTTGCCACTGCGCTCCAGTTTCTTACTACGATGGACCATGCATCCTCCACCAGTCCTTTGGCCCACCACAGTCTCGGTCTTCCAACTCTCCTCCTGCCGTAAATCCTTTCTTCCAAAAGCTTCTTTGGGACCTCAACATTCTTTGACATAGGCTGCCCAACGAAGCCTTCCAATCCTTATGAATCTGATGACATTTGTATTATTATACATTCTTTCTATTTCAGAATTAGTTCTTTGTCGCCAAACATTATTGCTGAATCCTGGCCCAAGGATTCTTCTAAGAATCCGCCTCTCAAATCTTAAGAGCATTAGTTCTTGAGCTCGAGAGATCATCCAACATTCAGAAGCATAGGTCAGAACAGGCCTTATGAGTGTCTTATAAAGCTGCACGTTGGTGATCCTCGAGAAACATTTTGAAATGTTTCAGGGACTTGAAAGAGCATCTGTTTGCAGTCATAAAACGTCTGTTAATTTATTAATTTCGTGCTGCATATTATTGTCAGAATTCACTTGAGAGCCCAAATAAATAAATTTGTTCAAACATTCAAATTGAAGACACCGAATTTTCAGGTGGTCGTCCTGCTGATCTAGTGCTTGCGGATCTTCTCTCATATATTCGGTTTTTGATTCATTTATTGTTACACCTACTCTTTATGCCACTTCTTGAAAAGCGAGTAATGCCTCATTCATAGATGCCATGGTTCTTCCCATTATGTCCAAGTCATCCACGAAGCAAATGGATTGCTGGGAAGTAAAGGATTTGAACCAATTGGTTAAATAAGGTACCTCCAATCTGTACAGCTGAGCTATTAACAGCACATTCCAGTGCCATATTGAACAATAAACAAGCAAGGCTGTCACTCTGCTTAAGGCCCTTGTACATTTTAAAATCCTTAGAAGTGCTCCTAATATGGGATTCTATATAAAACACAAAGGTGATACTTCCATGACAAATGGATCAAAATTGCATCGATCATACTGTGGACAGGCCCAGATTTACAAAAGGCCAAACTGGACACTTGTCCAGAGCGCTAGGACTTTGAGGAGCGACAAATTTTGTTAGCATAGGCAAAAAAATGTTGTCAGAAGGACAGAAAAAAAAAGTATTTTACTATGATTTGTTTGGTAATGATTAGATTTTCACATAAACAAGTCATATCATATAATCAAAAGAACAGCAGAAAGACTTTTAATATCACACAATTGTATTAATGCTATAATTGTAATATCACACAGTTACATTAAAAATGTAATAACATTAAGTACTGTCATGGACAGAATCTAGTGGAAGTGTTAGTTTACAAACTATTGCAGAGTGTTTAACAATATTAGGACTAAAATATATAAATACAATATAACATTTCAAATAGATTTAAAAGTTGCTTAACAATATGCAGTATAGTATAACTCAAGATTTATTCGAATTAATTATAGCACAAATATCAAACAGAAATTACCATTTATTAAATAAACAAATTTAAAAAACCATCCAAATTTTTATTTTTAAAAAGATATTATTTTTTTATGATAATGAATGATTATTAATCAGTCATACAAATGAATTTAAAACTAAATATATTGCTATGTTTTGGGATTGAAAATGAAGGAGTAGCTAAATATTATCTGCCTACAACGCAAGCTACTGAAAATCAGAACCATACTCAAGATGGAACCACATTCAAAGGTTGGCTTGCTTTACTTATTATATAATTTATGCCTCATAAAATAATATGATCATTATTCCAGGAATTCCAAAGCAAGCTGAACACATCTGTTTCTGTTGGGTCAGGATGTACTTCATGTTCTAATTGTAATTTTTTTCCTAAATTTGATGACTATTATTTAAACTGAAGTCCTACTTTCATAGTTAATGTTCTACGTTATTCTGCTTAATAATTCAAAATAGCATAAGGAGTTATAATTTTCATCGGTCAGAAACATAAAATTGTCGTTATTTCGATATTTGGGATCTAATTTAATCCAAACAATCAGGATAAGTCAATCACACAATTATTTATTAATAGCAAGATTTGGAAGTGACCTGCTTCTTCATGCTGTCATACACACTCCGCTAATTTTGGTATTCCACAGTGTGACCAGAGTAATTTAGGTGAGGCCACTCAAACTAATTATTATGCTCTAATTATAATCAGTTTATTGAAGTAACAGTTCATAATTGTCATATCTGGTTGAGAGGTTAGTCAATATCACATCAATCATTCTGTTGATGAAATTCTGGTTACTAATGTGCAAATATCACTCCACTTTCATAGGTGACACAAGATCATATTATCAGACCGTAGGTGGAATCTTGAGTGTGATCGAAACTAGATGGAAGTGAATAAAATGTTTGGTAAGGCTTCAACTTCCACTGAAAAGGACCTATTGGGGATTTGCTACCAACTTCAATGTTGACATATTGGCTTATAAAAAATCTCAACATTAAAAACATGTTAATATCATATTATTGTCTTGAAACTGGCATAGTTTCTTTACATCAATAATAAAAATAAAAAGTTTCCCTGATGAAAATAAAAAAAAGATTATCACTTACTTGTAACTATGCCAAGGAGTATTCAAATCAGCAACATATACATGAGATCCATAAGTTTTACCAGAAGTGTCATCCAATTCAGTTCGCATAGAAAATGCAACAATATTTTTAACTGATATGCAACAAAGTGATACCCCTTCATGTAGACTATAAATTAAAAACGGTTATTCAATAAACAATAAGTTGGCAGAAAGCAATAACATATAATCTTGAAACATACCTATCAAAATCATTCATAGACCTATTGGAAGCAATATGCTTTCTTCTTACTGAATACAAGATATCCATAGTAATTTGTACAGTATTTAGAATTTAACTAATTAAAATTATTATCTTATTTTATTTAATAAAATTAAAATTATCTTTTATAACTTATAAAGGGTTTGCACTAATTATCACAAGAGGCATAACATTTAACTTCACTCAGGATCCTCGTTAATAATAATATAAAAATGCTTATTTCCATAAGTCCTTGTTTGCTTGATCCTCATAAACCAATTCAACTTAACAATAAATAAATAGTATGTTATGTTTACATATTTACATAACCAGCGCTCAATATAACAGTATTAATTATCGAACAACGTAATACAATCGATATAATGTTGAGTCATAGACTGTCCATTGATTACCTGTTCTTGATTTCTTCGACAAGATCCAAATTAGTGGCACAATTTTTAATGATAATATAATTTTATTGAGAAGTCGTAGTTCAGATCAGACAATTAATGTAATTCAGTCAGACACAATTAAACCGACCCCTCAATCAAACTTCTAAAGTGCGCCCCTCCCTATATACCGGAATTAAATTATTATATTAGATTTACATGAGGAATTGAATTTATAGTTTTAATCACATTTCTCTCTATCCAAGTAGGGATAAGATAAACATTAGTAAAAGTGCAATATTTATTTCAATTCATAAAAATTATGATGTCTTGTAGGTAACTAATGCTCACTCATTTACTTTTTCCTTTTTCAATTACCTCCCTGTTCCGTATCGGTATCTTTGTCCTACTCGGCGACCAATTTCATCCCATTGATAGTCATTGGGATTTAGGAAGGAAGTTTTGAAAAGTTTTCAGTCACTGTGTTGCATCATATAAAAGCCATTCCGGAGTTCCTAGTAGAGTATGTTTAGGATGTTGAAAGAAAAATGTTTTAATTTTTCCTTAATGTATTAATCAGAAGTATTGTTCCTGTATAACCTTGATCATATGTAATTACCTATTTCTTTTGTACTAATTCACCTCCAGACTATAATATTATCTCCTCAATGTTCGATTGTGGATTTTAAAAGTTTTTGTTTTTATCAATTCATTGCTTTTTGCCAATCAATTGCTCGGGACCTAACCTTTCGCACTACCAGAAAAATAGGTTGGTATAAGGCGTGTCATGAGGTAGTGCAAAGCGCTAGGTGTACCCATCGACTTCCTCCAGTGCGAACAGTTCATATTGTTTGTTTAAGATTAGGACAGATAGATTTACGGATTTATCAGTGCATCTTAATTTATGATTACAGAGTTATTAATACTACAATAATAACTCGGAATAGCACAGTTGAATAATGGAACTGATGGTGGATAACTACATCGAAATACGGCCCCGATAGTTAATGCTTGAGTAGCCTACTAGGTTTCCTTGTAGGCTAGTAAGCTACTAGGAAGTTTCAAGTGAAGATCATCAACCGTGAAAAAGATATTGTCTCATGTGTCCCAGACTGGGAGCGGATCAACTGGGACCCCAGTTGATTGTACTGCCTATGAGGCTCTGAGAATAAAACTGAAGCTACACTAGGATTAGGGATGGGTCGGATTGTATGTATCAGATACTTTTATCTGATACTAAAAAAGTATCTGATACAACCAGTAGATACAACCAAAAAGTATCTGATACAAAAGTATCTGATGCTCACATGGATACAAAATGGTTGTCCAGACATGCCACATTGATATAAGAGAAATGTTTAGTTATAATTTTAGTTGTACACAATTTTTTTAGAACTATCTATTCATTTAGTTTAATTTAATTAAATATTTATTTGTAGATAAATATATTCACGCTTATTTTTTTTTTTTTATGTAATGTTAATTTCAGATATTTTTATCTGATACTGCTATCGGATATTTTTATCTGATACTAGTATCAGATACTTTTATCTGATATTTGTATCAGATATTTTTATCTGATATTTGTATCGGATATTTTTATCTGATATTTGTATCGGATATTTTTATCTGATATTTGTATCAGATATTTTTATCTGATACCTGCATCGGATACTTTTATCTGATATCTGGACTAGATACCCAGCGGTATACATACTGGCGCTTGGGCTTATTAGTTAATATATAATAGTTCTAATGACTTTATAGTTATGTCAGATACTATGAAGATATTCACACAGTTTTTTAAACAAAATATGCTTCATATTTGACAAAAGAATGAAATATATTAAATAAAAATATAACAAATTCATGCAGAGGAAATATTTTCCTAATACAACGTTCTTAAGAATTTTGTAACAATTAAAAAAATTCTTTATAGTTAAGTTTAACATACACACACACATATATATTTATATATATATATATTTTTTTTCTGTTTGTATTACAGACCATGTAGATCTTTTGCCACCTTAACAAGTATGCTCAATCTCTACCTCTCTTGGGCTATTTCTTTCCATTATCTGATATTTGTATCCGATATTTTTATCTGATACTCGCATCGGATACTTTTATCTGATATTTTTATCTGATACCTGGACTAGATACCCAGCGGTATGCATACTGGCACTTGGGCTTGATATCTCAATAATTGTATCAGATATTTTAATCCAACTGTAATTGATTATTGATCGGGTTTGATATTTTAATACCTATTTGATACCTAATAAAACATATATTAAATATGTACCTATATATATTTTATTCCTTTATTATTAAATTTGTCCCTGTAATAAATATTTTACACCATTTTTAAATATAATAGTTCTAATGACTTTATAGTTATGTCAGGTACTATGAAGATATTCACTATACGATAGCTAAGTTTAACATACTCACACACACATATATTTCTTTTATTTTCACCGATCAATCTACATCTTGGGATTTAGATTATATAGGACTTGTATAATGCTTACAATACTATTATTGTATTCTTTGAACATATTAAATTACATATGTAAGTCATTTAAAGTAAATATTTATCCACTCTTTTAATATTATTTTTTTCATTAATACAATGTTATGACAACAAAAGTAATTTGTCGTTCATTTCAAATTTCAGTTAAAATTCCATAGTTTATTGTTTTTAGTAACTATCTTGCTGTATTGGGACCTTATTGCTCATATTATGTCTTTAATATATCAGTATAGTTATGTAAATCCTTCTGTTATTACTTATTTTTAAGTTTTTTTGTGTTTTTTTTTATTGTAATATGCATTTTGGCAAGTTGTTATGTTAATTTTTATGTACAATATTTTTATTCTCAAGGGACTTTGTCCCAGAATAAAGTTGATTCTTCTATTCTATTCTATTCTATATATATATTTATTTTTTCTGTTTGCATTACAGACCATGTAGATCTTTTGCCACCTTAACAAGTATGCTCAATCTCTACCTGTCTTGGGCTATTTTTATTATAGTAGGCAAAAGACCACGTCGGAGGCCAAAAAGCAAATGGATAGATAGAATCAACAAAGATACAATAGAGCTGCGTGCAGATAAATGGCAAAAAATAGCCCAAGACAGGCAGATATTGAGCATACTTGTTAAGGTGGCAAAAGATCTACATGGTCTGTAATGAAAACAGAAAAAATAAATATATATATATAGAATAGAATAGAATAATCACCTTTATTCTGGGACAAAGTCCCTTGAGAATCCAATAAGTAATAACAGAAGGATTTACATAACTATACTGATATATTAAAGACATAATATGAGCAATAAGGTCCCAATACAGCAAGATAGTTACTAAAAACAATAAACTATGGAATTTTAACTGAAATTTGAAATGAACGACAAATTACTTTTGTTGTCATAACATTGTATTAATGAAAAAATAATAATAAAAGAGTGGATTAATATTTACTTTAAATGATTTACATAAGTAATTTAATATGTTCAAAGAATACAATAATAGTATTGTAAACATTATACAAGTCCTATATAATCTAAATCCCAAGATGTAGATTGATCAGTGAAAATAAAAAATATATATGTGTGTGTGAGTATGTTAAACGTAGCTATTAATAATTTTTACAAAATTCTTAAGAACGTTGTATTAGGAAAAATTTTTCTCTGCATGAATTTGTTATATTTTATTTAATATATTCCATTCTTTTGTCTAATATGAATCACATTTTGTTTAAAAAACTGTGTGAATATCTTCATAGTATCTGACATAACTATAAAGTCATTAGAACTATTATATATTAACTAATAAGCCCAAGACTAGACTAGATACCCAGCGGTATGCATACTGGCGCTTGGTATCTAGTCCAGGTATCAGATAAAAATATCAGATAAAAGTATCCGATGCGGGTATCAGATAAAAATATCTGATACAAATATCAGATAAAAATATCCGATACAAATATCAGATAAAAATATCTGATACAAATATCAGATAAAAGTATCTGATGCCAGTATCAGATAAAAATATCTGATACTAGTATCAGATACAAAGTAGTAGGAAGGTCATGACCAACTACTGACCCATTTGTATCAGATACAAAAGTATCAGATAAAAGTATCAGATACAAAAAAGTACCCGTATCAGTTGTATCTAGATACAAAAATTTTAGTATCAACCCATCCCTAACTAGGATATACATAGTCAGAGCGTGCGTTTCCTCAGATAGTGACCATTGCAAACAGCACTTTCCACAAAGTCTTTGTGCGTATGCCTAACCCACTAGTTGATTATTAGAGCGGAATCGAATAATAGTCCAAGCCAATGATCTTATAAAGGAGACTCAGAGATGACGATGTTCCATGACGAGATGAAGAAAGGACGCGGAAAAAAGATCATTGCTAATTGTATATTGGAAAATTGGAAATTATTAAAATGATTTAATAATAATTTTGAAAATATTCTCCTATTTAACTTCAGCTGGTCCTAGATTCCTCTGTATTCTGACTTGGTAACTGACCTTATTTTTTAATTTAGTTTTTTTTTTTTTTTTTGGATTGTACTTTTAATTCAAATTTAGCTTTTAGTAATAAAAATGATTTTATACTAATTAACCTTTATAACTAGTGACATATATGCTAATAAATGCATATATTAATTGTTAATGGTTTATAGATGGTTGTAGATGAAAAATACCTGTTCCCTCCCCCCCTCTGCTCCTGTATCAACCCTACCTGAGGTTATTTTGGAAGTACAAAAGGAGCCAAGAAAACTAATGTGATATGCTAATTACCATTTTAAACATTTAATTTATAAAATAATAAAATTAGTTTATTAACTTTTAATTTTTTATTTATACTTAAAGGAATTTCAAAACGATTGGCAAGCCTTCCACCCTATGATTCATTTATGACGTCATTAGATAGGTAGATTCCTTGCTACAAGAGTGATAATGGTAGGATTGTTGTTTTTATTTATTACTTTTTGAATTTTTGGTATTATTGATTTTTATGTTTGTGAAAAGTTTCAGGATTTTGTTTTAATTTTTGCAGGTTTCGTATTCAGAAGATCAGTTGGCTGGTAAGTTATTATTTAGGTCAATTTATTATTACGACATTCTGTTGGCCTCTAGTATTCCTTATTTGGTTATGTTTTAAGACGGTTTAAACGTTTGCCTTTTCAAAGGACATTCTTGTCCTGAGCTCCAATGGGTACTTGTCCTAAAGGTTATATTGAGACTATTTCAACAAATACTATGTATGGTTTTGAAATAGTAAACAAAGTCATGACTTCTGTAGAGGGTATAGAATCATAGTTTTACAATATATTCCCTTTTATTTTATATTTAACTTACACTGGAATATTTTCTTCAGAGTTTCAGGAGGCTTTTCAACTATTTGATAGCCGTGGAGATAACAAAATCCATGTGAATCAAATTGGTGATGCCTTAAGAGCCCTTGGACAGAATCCAACTGAATCAGAAGTTAAGAGGTTCACTCATCAGCACAAGCCTGGTATGTTAATTATGTTCTTGGTTTTATAAATTTTCTACTTGAAGTACCTGATATTGCTCTTAATTCATTCTCCTATTATTATTTTGATCTGTGATTAGCCCTTCATATAAAGTTTTTTGTTGGAGTAAGTGAAAGAATTATATTTAAAAGCATATTTTTTAAATTTATATGTTCTAAATTCTTAAAATAACCCTATTATGTTTACCTGAATTCCCACTTATAATATATCAGCAAACTTAATCAGGAACTTGTTTTTCTATACTTAGATATTAGTTCTTCATGTTTTTCAGTTGTGGCCAGTGTTTTACTAGTAAGCACTGAAGTTTTCTGCTAGAGTTGGTTGATAAGGATCGTTTCATTTTTTTTTTTTTAGTTAGAGTGTTATCAATTTCATCTAGTTCTGACAACAGATATTAAGTATTTGGATATTATGTCATATTTAAAAGGGCTACTTCTTTACTAGTGTTATTCCACTTAAATAGGGAGTGACAGATCTCATGGTCACACCTTAAATGGATTTCCAAGAATGACCAAATGTGCCTGATAGTGGTATGGCTCTGACTTCAACTGAAAAAGAACCCATTTTGAACAAGCTATAGTTGAAACCAGCGATGTAGCTAAAGATTGCTTAGACACACAAGTACTACCTTAATAGATATTTGTTTTACTGATTCTGTGCCAACTGTGTTTAAATAGCTATTTTCATATGTACAACATTCCTAAATGCAACTCAAGTCATCGTCTGCTGCTTTTATGTATTTCAGATCAAAGGGTATAAGTACGTTGCATCCTAGCAAGGTTTGTGACACCAATTATGTAAAATTCATATGTTTTTATCATTTTTAACTCATGATATTAGTATTTATTTTCATAATTTTGTAATATCGGCGTATTGATAACTTTTCCACACCACTACCCTTTTGGATCTTTTGTGAGGATTTGTTCTCTGTGATTTGTAGTTTTGTCAAAATAAACTATTGTTTTCTTGTTGTTAATCTTTTAATTCTTGCACAGGCTTGAAATTGTGTCCTTTACTTGACTCCAGTATGAGTTGATAGTCCTGTCATCACTTTGCCCTTTACCAATTTGGTATGACCCTGACCATATAATTCAAGGACCTTTTGTGCTTTTTTATATTTCTTGAGCAAAGCTGTTACACGATGGGCCAGACCATCCTACCGTTTTTATTAGTGATATATGAGTTTCACTAAACAACACACCAACTATTCATTATATGTAGTTTTATTATAATTATATCATTATTACAATAGAGGCCTTCTTAAACGACTTCTGTATAGAATAAAGGAAATTAAAATTTAAAAAATAAAATAATAAATTTTTATAAAAATTTTTTACTTTTTTTTTACCGTTAAATTATTGTATTAATATCTGTCCGTTAATACAATCAATATAATGTACCAGAAACGTTATTATAGCACTATAATTAAGCCATTTATGAGCACTTAATGGTGTAGTAGAGGCCTGTAGGCACCCATGCCAGTACCCCTTTTCTGGCGCTTAAGTGCATTTTCTACTGAACTGCTTCAAATATTTTAAAAAGTAATCAGTGTTTTAGAAAGAAAAATATATTCTCCAGGTGTTTTATTTCAGCACGTTTTGCATTATTGTTGGCTGTTTGATTTTCAACTTGAAAATTTTTTTGTTAAAAAAATTGGCTTTACTGGTGTTTTTTTATTCCCTAAGCCATTTATTTTTTCATGTATTATTATTCTCTGACTAGAATAGAATTGAATTTATTTGTTAAAGATTATTTTACAATCTTGTACAAATGATACATATATGAATAACTTTATTTCACCTACATGAGTCTAGTTTATTCTAACTGTACATTGACTTATTATAAAAACAATAACTAAACAATAATACTTCATTACATTCCAATTAATTTCTATCTACATTATCAATAAAACAAAAAAATAAAAAGAAACAAACAATTAATTGAACTGACCAACAATTATCCTTAGTCATAGCACTTGGCTGGTGTGTGGAACATCAGAGCTTAAGGAATCCAGTGAATTGAACGCTGACATTATGAACCAGTAAATTTTATTAAGTTTCTCTATGCTATCTATTCGAAGTATGTCTTGTATCTTGTTTACATCACTTGGCGCAGAGAGAAATGCTCGTAAATGTTTGTGTCTGTTGTCTGTTAGCTTTTCACAATACAGAAGGGTATGGAACAGGCTGTTAGTAATGCATTGGTTACAGAAAGTGCAGGTTTCCTGGGCTTTGAAGTAGAAATTTTTGTTTTTCGTATAGAGCTTAATTAATTCGGGATTTGAAACCCTTAAGTGACTTATTGATCTTAGCTTTTTCTTGTTAGCTCTATACATCAAATAGGACTCTGGGCTGGAAATAGTTCTATATATGGGATTTATGGATAAATGGATGTCCTTAGATAGGTTATGGTTTTTTAGCTTTTCCAATATTTCATCGCTGTATTTTAATAATCCAGTTGGGTATACTTTATCGAACTCTTCTTTACAGCTATAATGAGCAGCTATTGATCTGAGTTGTGTGATCCAATTAAAGTTTATATCAGGATTCCTTGTATCCAGCAAAATTAATTTGTTGAAGCAAAGCCTTGGTAACCTCTCTTCATGCATAAGCGACAATTTAGACCAGTAATCTATGATCCTTCTCATAACCCTGACACTCAAGGCGTTTCAGCCAGTTTCTAGACGTACAATGTAGTTGGCAGTATTCCTTGGCCACCTAAATAGTTGCTTCAGAAACTTCAGCTGTACCACTTCAATAGCATCCAGGTATCTTAAGCTCCATATTTCAGAAGAATACAGAAGGGTTGAAGACACCATAGAATCAAAAAGAGCTATTTTTGTCTCCCATGAATTGCTTCTACCCCTTCGCAAAATCTCCAATACTTTTCCCGTGGCAACAGAGGACTTCTGTATAAAATGCTCAGATGCCTTACTAAATTTTCCTGAGGAAGTGAAAGGTACTCCTAAGTAAGTGTAGGCCTTAGTGTATTCCAGCTTTTTCTCATACCAGTAAAAGGGCTTAAGTTTCTTCATCCTGGGGGATTTATGGAATACTATAACTTTTGATTTTTCCTCATTTACAGTCAGGGAGATCTTCTCACAGTACTGTTGCAGGATCTTCAGTTTCTTTTGTGCTTCTTGCCAAGTATTATTATTCTCTGACTATCCAGCTTTAATAAAAGACCAACTATTGCAAAATTAAGCCAAATGCTGATTCTCAGTGACCAATAAACTAACTAAAGTCAAAGTTGTCATTCGGCCATGTTTGGACTTAACTTCAGACTAAATCAAATTTACAATTTTTGAGATAGAGGCTTATCAAGGAAACAATGGCATAATATATACTTTGACACATGTAAGAGAAAGAATTATATAGAATTCAATTGAATTGATATTTTTCTAATACACCATTCTTTTTTCTTTTTTTTTTCTCTCTAATACCCAGCCTTCAGCCAAATCAAACAATAAACCATTTTTGAAGTGAAGTAGTATCTAAAAAAATACATTGATGAGTGGTTTTGCTATAGTAGTGAATGCAGTTTCTGTGGGACCGTCTAAGTATCAACCTTTACAATCTGTGATAATTTCATGAATTATGGATTAATAGTAGTAGATCATATGCTTGTCAAATGGATTTGATTACAGACATGGAAACTAATTAAAGAGTATAAATTAGGTTTTGAGTTGTGTCGTTCTTCTAAACTAGTGTTCTATTTATTCATATATTATATCGGATTTGGATTATATTTTATAATATCTGTTTTTATAAACTTGTAATGATATAGCATTTCCCTTTAGATGAGAGGATAAGTTTTGAAGTGTTTCTGCCAATCAATCAAGCAATTTCTAAAGCAAGAACAAGTGATACAGCAGAAGATTTTATTGAAGGATTACGCCATTTTGATAAAGATGGAAACGGCTTCATTACATCTGCAGAGCTGAGACATCTCCTTACAACCTTAGGTATGTTTTGTTATCCTTCTCATATTTTTTTATTTCTACTTGAACCAAACAAAAAAGTATAATATGACCTTGAAGAATTTCTATCTAGTTTGGTAATTATTTAAAAGCCATTCAAGTATAATTTTTAAAAACAAAACAAATATAAAGTATCATGCCTTATTATATATCTTATTCCCTTGTCGATACCCTAACCCATTAGATTCCTAATTCCAAAGATTCCATCTGAACTCGTTCAGCTATCGCTATTTTTTTATTAGTATGACATTAAGGCAACTAATGATATTTACTATTCATTGAGTTATTTTAATATAGTTTTGGTTGGTTTCCTCCATTTTGTGATACTGGTTCATAACTACAAGATCTGTTAGGCAAATGAGTCAAGATGACATTGATCATGCATTACATGAAATCCAAAATGTGACCAAACTTTCATCGTTTGTATAAATCAATTATGAAAGGTATTTGATTATAAATTGAAGAGGATCCATCTTCCATAACCAAGGATCCCCAATCCTCCTTGGTAAAACTCCAACCTCAATTGGAAAGGACTCAGGGTTTGCTAATCCCATCAAAGAGCACAGCAGGTTCACTCCTAAACATAGTTATCTAAAGTAGAGATGGGCAGGTGAATCGAGAATCAAATCTAAGAGTCAATTCATCTGAAAGAATCATTCTCTCAAGTGATACCCATGAAACAACAACGATTATCATGGTACCGGTCGATTTACTGATGCCACTAAAACGTTTTCTTAGTTCTTCTTTGACTTTCACAGTGTTTGTTCTAGGAAATCTTCCAGTCTTGTTCCATTGTTTGCTTGGTTGTTTTATTTACTTTCAGAATCTAATCTTCCATGATCGTTTCCTATTTCTGACATTTATAATCCATGCTTATTTACATTACTATTTTGTTTGTTTATCTCAGTTTAGTTTATTTATATGAATACTGTTTTTTTTTTTTTTTCACTTCTATACTTTTATTTTTATTACCTATTATTTTATAAATATTTACTTTAATACTTATCTATTACTTAGTAAATATTTATTTACTAGTATGGCCATACGATCTTGTTTTATTAATTTTGTATTTATTATTTATACTAATGGGACATCAATGCCAGGTTAATAAAATTATTTTTCATTTTTTCATTTACAGTTCATATACCGAGACCAAAATATATATATAAGATTAAAAAAAAAAATCCTGTTCAGTTTAATCTTCCTTCCTACTTATAAGACTCATAACGTTTCATTCATATATATTTGAACCAGGACTTTTAATTTAAATCAGTTTAAAAATAAAAATATGAATAAACATAAGGTTGAGAATGTTTGTTATTGTTTTGTTTTGTTTTTTCAATAGGAAGTTATTTTTCATTTAAAGAAAAAAAGAATCAATCTAATTATCGATTCACCACAATGATTGAATTTGTTTATTTAAAATAATCAAGTTTGTCATCTCTAATCTAAAGTTTACTGTGTGATTGATGTCTTCTTGTCCCATCTATCAATCTAGACAAGAAACTTGTGAAACAGTACCTATTTTGTTATTCCTAGAGACCAGATCTTTGAGTAGTAAAAACTCCAAAATGTACCATATAGTACGATAAAAACCAGCATCAATAATTGGGTATGAAGTCTTTATACATAAGTGAATAAAATGTGCAATTACATGGAAATCCAGTCTGTAGTTATTACTTTGTCCCTAATTCTTCACTTTTGTCAATTCCTACAATTCGTGTAAAGCCTATACAGTTACATTAGAATAGGAATTTGTGCATTTTTTTTTTTTTTTTTTTGTATTTGGCTTATTGACTAAGATTAAAGTGCAGAGTATTATAGATATTTATTTCAGGTTTCAGTGATTAAATGGTAGAATCACTATGTATGTATCAGAATCCTGTGTCGGGTTTTGGTAGGGAGAGAGGAGAGAACAACAGAAAACTGATATTTTTTTAGTTTTTTGTCAATATCTCAAAAACTATGAGATTTTTTGCAAAAATTGTTCTGTACAATATTTAAATACTTTAAAATCTCTATAAAAATGATCCTATACATTTTTTTGATAAAATGAATGGTTACAGAGATATTTATGAGATTTTATTTATTGGATTTACACTTAAAGCATAAGTTGCTCCAACCACGAAATTTATGTTCTTCATAGTTGACGATACCTTTTTGAAGTTCAATTAGTTTTTTTTATCATTTTTGATCATTCAAATTATTATTCAAAGTTTCTTTCATTTAATGAATCTTAGAAGTTATTAACAACATAATTATATTCAATATCAATCAATAGGGAATTTCGTGATAATTACATGAAGTTTACATTGAAATTAATTTAATTTAATTGATAATATGTGACAGAAGACATTAGTACTTATAAAAAGTTACCATAAACCCTTTTCTGATTACATACCTGAAACTTAAATTTTGTAATTTTTAAACCAACCAGGTTTTGTGTTAAATAAAAAGTAATAACTAAAAACATATTTAATTTACGTTATAACCAATTACTTCATAGTAAACTAGACTAAATTTACATTAAATGCAAGTAAATCTTGTCGTTTTAAAACAATTTAAAGGGTACTTTTTAGCAGTTAAACTGTTGTAAGTTCCAATTTTCATAAAATGAAGTATTCTTCATGATTTTCTTGATAACCTCTCTCCACAAGACTGTAGATACAACACTTTCGGAAAAATTTTGTTGTTCGATGAGCTTTAAATCTATTTTAATTAAGTTGAGTTTACACTTTCTCTAATTGAGTAAAAATATTATTAGTACGGAAAAATTAGGAATAACCCCAAATATTTTTACATCTTTTTATAAAATTCTTTAATATTAATCTTTGTGGAAGACCTCATAGTTTTTTAGATATTCTCAAAAAACTAAAAATACATCAATAGGCCAAATAGTGGCAAAATTATTTTATTATAGTGGCAAAAGCCAATGTTTCCTTTATAATAAAGCTAATGTGTCCTTTATAATGCAACAGTCAACTATTAAGTATTCAATAAAAATACATCAGTTTCTGTTGTTCTCCCCCCTCCACCCATCAAAATCCGATGCTGGATTCTTTGGGACTTTTTACCTGTTATCATGGAGAATGTAATGAACAATTTCTGACCAGTTTCATCTTTATTTTTTTAATGTTGGGGTCAATCCTTTATTTTACTGGACTAATTCCTGGAATTGGATGGCACAACCATTCCAGTAGTTGGGAAATTGAGGAAAAACTTGTAAAAGGCTGAAAAACAATTGCAAATAAAATAAATAAAAATTAATAAAAGAACAATAATTACGGGTGTCTAATAAGAATTGATTATTTGTAATATTTACTTTTAATTAATAATCAGTCTTTGTTAAACTTAATCAGAAGGTATAGATGGTACTTCATTATTTGAGGAAAAAGATTCAAGGGAATTATCTGGCCTATCCTGAAAGGTTCCACTGGCTATTTAAACTTAACACAATATCTTTTAGAACATAATTTATTGCACTATAACTTACAACTATTTTTAATTCTGAACTTATTCTTCTTGATCTCAGGAATCAAAATTGAAAGGTACCCAACCTAATTATAGTTCTTCATAGGCTAAACAATTATGTAAATTTTAATTTGGAGAATAAGTATCAGAAAATATTTTTCTTTTAGTGATGAAATTATGATTTTTTTTTTTTTTCACAGGAGAGAAGTTAACTGATGAAGAAGTTGAGCAGCTCCTGGCTGGACAAGAAGATTCCCAAGGAAATGTCAATTACGAAGAATTTGTCCATATGGTAATGTGTGGTTAAAGAATCTATGGCAATGTTAAAAATATTTATTCCAAATTATATACATTCTATTGTATTTAATTAACCTTTTATTATTCGTTTTTACCTTATTATTAATTCCAATCTTTATTATAAAAATGTTATAATATTATCCAATAAATTTGTATTATTTATATTTAAAATATTATTTATTAAACCCCCTGCTTAAAAATAGTTATTTCTTCAAGTACAACCACAATCATGAAAAAAAAAAAATAAGAAAAAAAGTTACAAGTGCTAAAGGAGGGCGTTCTTGGCAGGATGGAACAACACTATTTATTTCTTCAGTATTTATCAGTTGGGAGTGATAATTATTACTGATTTAGTAGTAATAACTTTTTTTAATTAAGTCTGTTCTCTTTAATAGACAGGCATGAGTTTAGAGATTGGAGTGGAATGTAAAATACTGTTTTTTATTTCTTTTCATTCTAGTTTACTTTTTTTTAAAAATCAAGTATAATTATGTGGTGCTCGTTAAATAACAATAATTTTGTGGTGTTATATTAGTAATTCAAAACTACATTATGTTTTATGAGCCAATGTTATTAGTATTTGAATCTCAGTCTCGACTCCCCAAGATGTTCATAGCTTTACTCTTTTTAATCAAATAAATACAAGACTATGGGAAAAACTAAGAATTAATTATAATAACCTATTATCAAAGTCAGATTAACTTTAAAATGAGAAAACTAATTTTAAGTTCTTCCAGTGTTGCTAGCAGTATATACAAGCAATAGTCCCCAGTATAAATCCTTTTTTATCAAATTATAAACATTGTCTAAAACTTCATGAATAGTTTCATCTTATTCTAACCTAATTCTTTGTTATCTATGAAGTCTCAAAAGTGATTTCCCACTAAACTAATTAATTAAATGAGATACTAATTGCTCATGAATATTCATTTGCTTTCCATTTGAATTGTAAGATAGTTTTTTATCTCATAATCGAGAAAAATATTGAGCTGTTTACCCTATTTAAACTTGTTATTTTGACATATTTGGAGATGGAGTTAGGCCATATTTTGTGACCAAATTATCTTACAATTCAAGTGGAAAGCCAATGTGTGTCCATGAGATTTTAGTACCTCATTATATAGCCAAAGTTTATCAATCTCCAGATTGAAAATGCTCCATTTTTGAGAATTTTCATAAATTATAATAAAAATGTTGATGGTTACGATAAGATGAAGCCATTAATGAAGTTTTAGACAAATGTTATTAGTTGGATAAAAATGGTACTGTACCACGGACTACAATAAGAAATAAAAGTTTTTTTTGCAACAGCTTTATCTATATCTATAATACAATTTATACATCTTCATCTATATATTATACTTAATTCTATATATTTTATGAGTTTTCAGAATTTAATTTAAAAACTTTTATGTTATATTAGTCATATAGAAACAATAGTTAGTTTATCATACATGTAATCCTTACTTAAAGGATTTATATAATTAATCCTTAAGTAGGAATTTTGGGAATCCTCTGTTGTACCAGTTCCTGGTATATACTCTACAGTCAGTTCTTTTTCTTTCTTTTTATTATTTTTTTTTTTTTTTCGAAATATTGATGATCACAGTATACCTTAAAATGAGAAAAGTTTTGTCAACTATAATCTTGATCCTAGTTGTACAAAAAATAATTATTCTATAATATTAAGCATTGCAGTGTCAGGTTAGTTTCATTAGTTAAATGATTCAGTCGAGTAATGGTTTATGCCACATTTTAACGAAATCAGGTTATAACTTTCTTCATATATTAACAGGAAGTTATTTTAGTGATAATGCCTTAAACAGAGGAGGAACCATCTGAGAGATTTCAGAAGAACAATTGGCATTGTATGTTTTTTTTAAGTCTAATAAAATGGTTTTGAAAATTTATGTGTCCCGAGACTAATATAAAAAAAAATTAGATGTAACTTTGAACTGAAAAATAGTTCCATCAATCTTGGTGTTATATAAAACTGACTGCTGATTTAGTAAAGATATTTGAAAGGTATTGTTTATGGAACATGTGTTTTTAAGAACTAAGTTCGTTAGTTTAGCAAGATGTAATCATACAAAAATCAGAAATGATGGGAGTAATTACTAAGAGACAGTAGGTATTTATTTGTTTTCTTATATTTAATTCATTGAGCTTAACATTTCTTTCATTAATAGTGTTGTTTATATGTACTGAATATTTATCTGAATTAATATGGAATTTTTACGGGATTTTATAGAACTAAAAAAACAAAGTTATATTTTTCCTCATTTAAATTTTTAATTACCTAAGTTGGTTCTAAATTGAGGCTACAGTAACATTTTTATTAAAAATAAAATTAAACTATTGTTATCTACCAAGACTTCCTTTCACAAAGATAAGATAACCCAATTGAGTATTTATCTCTTTAGTATTATGAACTTATCTTAAACTGCCAACAATGTTTTTAGGGAAGTAATATACAGCTGTAGGCTATTGTTGCTTTAGCGTAATGATAAAAATTTCTTCTATGATGAAAGGACAGATAAAAATTTAGTTACAATATACTAGGTTTAATATAAATAATATCTGAAACCTTAAAGCTGTGATAGCAAACCTCAAATGCAGTAGAAATAGAGATGGGTATCTAGTTGACTTTTGAAATTATAAGGATAAAAAATTGTCTGGAAGTGCAGTCAAAAATTTCTTTATTGATCAGCCCTGATGACCCACATGTTTGGGTCGAAACGTCAACAAACTCAATTAAGAAATTTGCTATTGCACATTCTGACCATTTTTCAACCTTAGAAATGGTTATTAAGAATTTGCTTTTTATATTGATAATTTAAAAAGAAAATGACTAAAAATCTATTTGAGACAGATGGGTAGTTCCCAATTGAAAAATTATCTTCAAAAACAAGTAGAATTTGTCTTAGTTAAAACCATTTGAAAAATATTTTAAGGGACTTACTTATGAATAGTTGTGTTTAAATAAACACTCCAATTAGACTACTGATTCCCAAATTTAAACTTGTTTAATAATTTTTAATTATATGTTATTAACGTGATGTATGTTATCAAATAACCTGAAAAACCTCTTCTGTTGTGTAAAACAATTATGTAATGTGAAATTCTGTCTGCTCAAGGTATTATTGTTTTCAGCAAAAATAATTTCAATTAATTATTACCAAGTTTTATTTTTTATTTTTTTTTTCCTATTTTATGATATGGATCTTAACAAATTATTTACCTACTAAAATACACTTTTTTGTTTTTAAAAAATATTACTTTAATTCTGTATTAAAGAATAGTTAAATTTAAAATATTAAAATTCAATAATATTATTTATAGTCGAATTTAAAAGAAGCTTAGTTGCTGATTATATAAGTATTTTCAGACTTTAAGAACAATGGTTCTTGAGGGAGATTTGAGGAAAAAATAAGACAGCAAGTGCTAAGTCGCCATCTTTGATCCACCATTTTGGATAGAAGCGCTAGCGGGTCATAGATATATTTTACCATTTTAGGCACTAGCGGATCCAGGATTTAATTTTGGGGGGGGCTTCAGCCCGAAAGTTGTTTTTTTCATAAAAATAACGATAATTACTTTGGAAAAAAAGAAAGAAACTAACTACCTGTATGAAATTGTGTTTAAGTGATTCCTAAAGCCCTTTTAAATGTAATTACACGAACAATAATACTTTAAGAGATACTTTTTTAATCTTTTTTTCGATAAAACATGGATATATTTTACCATTTTGGGGGGGGCTTCAGCCCGAAAGCCCCCCCCCCCGTAGATCCACCCGTGATTTTAGGAGAGGCTTCATCCCAAGAGCTACCCTTCCCCTTCTCTTTCCGTAGATTCGCCAGTGGATATGGAAAGGGAGAGGACTTTTCATGATTGAGGACATTGGATGAGACAAACTAAGACAAAAACAGATCTTTGTGTAATTTAGCTACTTAAAAAAATGAAATAACTATAATTAAAATTTTAAAAACGTGTCACAACAATCCTTGAAGGATTTCGGGTTTCAGTACTATGGCAGTGTTTTGTAACGAAGTAGACTTCTGAACGAATGGTTGTACAAGTGGTAGCTATGAGCAAGCTCAACTCAGATTTTCGACTAATGAAGGATACTAACTTTATAGAAACATAGCTGCCAACGCAAAGCTCGACGCACAGCTGATGTAATTCAAGAAATTAATATCAACCGCAGCCACCGACCTTAGACTCCGTGCGTGAAAAAGCTCGGATAGATTTGTTTGACTCTGCCCTTGGTTAGATATTCAATATGTTCCAAATCCAACAAGCCAGCCATGTAAGTTATTGCAAATATTTAAAAATAATTTCGCCTTTCAGAAGGCTCAAATTTAAGTTTGTATAATAGATTATCAGCTAGCCATCCTTTTTTCAATGTTGTTTCTATTTAGTAACTTCTAAATGCAGTGTCAGCTTAAGGCATTTAAGAGCTCCTCTTCGAATATATTTATAATAGAAATAGTAGCACACTCGGTAGTTACACAGAGCTAACTGAAGAGAAACCTGGCTCGTACCGAATGGCATGGAGCCAAATGGCTCCATCGTTAAATGCCGAATAAAGACAATTTTTGTTTTATTTTGAAAAACATTTTGTCTTGCTTACAACGCTGCTATTTGGCATCACCTAACTTAAATATTTATTTATTTATCACTTTCTATTCGACAAAAACGTTACAACCTTTAGCAAATTTAAATTTAATACTTCCCTATTCGGAATCTTCCCATAGCCCTAATGAATTTAACTGTTAGATTTGAGAGAGTGCATGATCCATAACTAATGAGCCCTCCCACACTCCTTATCAAAATTGTTAAAGTATTCTTTCTTAATGCCAAAAATCTGGTGCGCTCATCACACAATTTTCACTCAACGCTGTACTTTGAACAGAAATTATTTTCTGACAAAGTTTGACTATTACAAAGTGTATTTTTAACGGAGCTAAACCATAAACCTTAGAGTTAACCTTAGACCATTAAAATAACACAAACTCTATTTGCTATATGGAAAAAAAAATTGTTTTTTTTTTTCCTTTTTTAATGAATTATCAAATTCTTTCTTTATTAATTAATTAATATTAATTATGTTTATATTCAGCCATCTTTTATTGCTAATGACAATGATAGGTGGTATATGATAAATATA